GAAAAGGTGCATACATTCAGCTCTAGCTGTCTTGATCACCTAAGGCAGCCCACCTGAGTAGGAAACGTATAGCTCTACTTTATGAAGACCACTTCCAAAGCACCAACATAATGCTCCCTTTTAGATCTGTGCAATTCTGCATGAGCCTAAAATGTCAATTTGACATTCTGAGCATCTGCTTCAGGCATCTATGTAATACGTTTCATTTACACTCTTCTCATTGCATTAGTGCTAAAAGCAGAGAAGAAAGTTTGAGGTCCAAGATTTGCTCCTTGAGATTAGAAGACAGGCAGGTAATGTCAGGAAGACGTTGGACATTGGAGAGACTTCTGCATTAGGAGGAGATTACAGCACCAGAGGCAGAGAGACTGTGGACTCTTCATCCTTGGAGGTTTCTAAGACTCAGCTAGACAAACCCACATTGGCCTGAACTAGTGCTGGCAACAGTCCTGCTTAAATGAAGAGGTTGGACTAGACACCACCAGAAATTCCTTTGAACCAGCACTTCCATGATTTTGTTTCTGAATATAAGAAAGGTATTATGAAGGCACAGAAAAGGGTATCTTTGAATCAGTTAACAAAAAGAGCCAAGAATATTCTCAGCCTGGTTATTACGGGCAAGGTCACTGCATTCCTCGGTATTTTATGTTATTTTGAAATGGGGCCGCTGCATAATTTGAGAGGTTTTTCATTACATATGAAGTTGAACCATCTCTGTGCTGAAGTTAGTATCAAGTAATTCTTGTTTCCCACTGTCCCATTTTCCAATACACCACATTTCTGCACTGAAACTGGTAATTGCACGGCAGGATCTGAAACATTTTGGCAATAGATCACAAAAACTCTTCAGGATGTAGGAGGAAACACGGGATTACACAAGAAATGGGAACACATTAGCCAGTTAACATGATCAGAAAATTAACGTTCAAAAAGTCATTTACAGGTTTCAGGGTTAGCATATTAAGTGGGAAACAATTCAAAGAACTTTAGAACTGCTGTTTCATATTGCTGGAAAACTCCACCATCACACTGCCTTCTCTTGTTCGTACATTTATCTTGCCCGTGAGTTACTTCTACCTTTAAACTGTGGAGCAAATTTCTGCAACGCTATACCAGAAGTAAAACAGGGTCTGGTCTGTAACACTCTCTGGTCTGTCACAAGTGGGCCCCAAAAGCCAAGAGTTTCAGCAGTCCCTTTGGAAGTCTCACCTACTCTTGGTTTTAGACAGCACAGGTCAAATCTCATCTGTTCCCCAACCATGTATAGCCCCCCCTTTTTAATCTTTACCATTCTGCAAGGGTTCTGCCTGCAGCAATACCAGAATCGAGATGCCGGCAAATAACGGACAGACAACTGTAGAAATAACATTTTTGGTTTAGTGTTTGCAATTTGTTTTACAGCTCATAATGAAATACTGTTAGATATTCTACATTCATACATTTCTAGCAAAATACACTTAAAAACATAAGGCACTTTAAGACTTCCTAAAACAAATGCTCACGACAAAAATTCAGCAAGAGAGCTGGATAAGAACCCTTTCTACCCTTAACGTTCAGGTCAGTAAAAGATCAATCCTCTAGTCAGGCAGGCAAATGAAATAATCAATAGAAAGGTTTCCAAGATAGAGTTACTGCTGTATTAGTGTGCATTCTGAAGTAGTCTATTTGAAGTATCTTCAGTTGGGGAGGGAGGGCATGGTGTGAATAAGATGCATTAAAACAGTTCTTTGAACTGGGTAACAAAGACACATTGCAGGGATTAAGTTTCATTACTTTCATTGGATTAAATTCCTTCCATTCATTATTGCCAACAAGAGTAAGGAACAAAAAGGAGCTGATTCTCCCCTCCCTCCCCCCGCTCCCATTATAATTCAACACAAGATTTCAAAGACTTTAAATGACCAGGACAGAAGCCCACGAAAAACTGCATCTGGCCACTTCAGAGTATGTTTAAATATTCATTACTGACTTCAAGTCTCACCTCTTATTAAAGAAAGAGAAACATAAAAGAATTGGCAACTGTATGAGTTGCTTTCAGTCAAATTGATATTTTGCTTCTTTTTAACACGACCCCACTGTTCAAGTACCTGCATTCAGAAACGCACCAGCAGCTCCCCTTGGCAGAGAGATGGCGGGGCAGAGGATGAATGCAGGCAGGGCCCCGGACCCCGCGGGGAAGAGGGAATGAGCAACTTCGCTTCACACACTTGTGTCTTGGCTTAAGAACAGTTTCAAAAGCCGGACGTGCTGGGCTGCTGTAGCAACAAGGGGACTGATACCAAAACACTGACTGAAGACTTCACTTGGAGACACATCTGTAAGAACTGAAATCCACTCTTGAAAACTGACAGAGAGAGCTATAATGCTGGCAAAACCACTGTCTACTTCTCAGGGCCCCTGAAAAGGGGATGGTAGGAACCATCTAACAGTGTATCTTCAAGTTTTGTCTTACCTATTTTATTGCCCAGTACATTTTCCAGTCTTTGGGGGCTAACAATTGCTGGAAAAACTTGACTCCCGCTCAGTACATTAGGCACTACAGTATCAACCTGCATCCCTAGTCTGCTCAAATCCACCTCCGAGGAAAAAAACCCCACAACCAACCCACCATTTGTTTTTCTTACAAGTCCTTGATTGTTTTAAATTCTGACTTACTTGAATTGCACTCTAAAGCCCATCAGCAAAAAGAAAAATTGGTAGCTATATTCAGGAATATATATAAATTTTTAAGAGACAAGACATTTTATCTAGTCTAAAAATGCATAGAGATATCAACTGCATAAGCTGTCGCGTTTTGACGTGGCTGCAGTGAAGAAGCTGTGAAAAAAGATTAGCCTGTTAGCCCTATTAGAATTGGGGCAGGAATGGGATGCCTGTTCAGTTAGGAAAGAAAATGCAGTTAAGGGCCGAGCTAAATCAGAACCAGCCACCACTGGTCTTAACCCGTCACACACAGAGGTGCTACTGTGCTAACAGGAACCGTGGTGAAATCTAACTTTGTGAAGTGAAAAAACGCATGACTTCAAGACAGCTGCTGCTAAAGAGAAGAAAGGAAGGTGGTACCTCACGGCCCTGAGCTCAAAAGATCTCGAGATCTTAACTTGTGTGGCTCACTTTCACTGGCAGAAGAGCCAAGCTCTAGATCACTCAGTTGCTCACAACCATTACACGAGCAGCCAATTTAAAATTGTGGCTCTGCAATCAGTTTACTGTCCTTCAGCATCGGTGTGACGCTATTCACTTGGGACAGGAAGAAGCGTCTGAAAGAGGAGATGAAGAACAAAACACAGGCCATTCACTGATCCCAATTTAACTAACAGCATGCAGCGGTTTCTCTCAAAATCTGTAGGTTCTTCTTCCCAAGCAAACCTCACAGAATTTGCTAAAGTGACATCCAGTTGCTTTGCACATATACCTTACTGTGTCTTAAAAATATACTTTAAAAAAATCATTTGGAAAGGCACAGAGCACATGCAGTTTAATTCTTTGTGGATTGTGCATGGGGCGAATCTTCAGACTAAGTTGCAATGATTAATAACGGATGGGGTGCTATTTTACAACCAGATCATTTCTTTCAAATTCCAGTTCTGTCCAAAGGAAACTGGGGAAATGAGCAGTGCTGCCAACGAAATGCAAGGCAAGTAGTTCAACCTGCATACCGAGACAGACTGGAACTGGAATATACAAAGTTTCACAGACCTTGTTCTTCAGGTCACATTGAAGGAAAAATTGTAGTCTAATGAGAGAAAAAAAAAATAATTAAAAAAAAAATCACTAAAGCTAGTTACAAAGAGTAGAATTATCAAAGTGCTTTATAAAGTGTTAAATATAATTAAACAGGACCATTAACACAGAGCTGCCATAAGATATTCAAATAGGTACATGCGTCTTCTGAATGCAGGAGAGGAGCACACGTTTTTAATTGCCCCCATAAGGCCAAAGTGGGTTAAGAAAAGTTTTTCTTGTTCATTTAGCTTCTTAATACAATGTATTTGCTCTGCTCATGCATTCAAAGGCACAGTTGGATTTGCTCTATCTGAAACTGCATCAAAAAGACTGTCTGCCATGAAATATCAATAAAGGGGCAGCTCTCACTGAGCAAAACACACAACAACCCCATAAAGTAGATTTATAGATACCTGTCAATTCATAATATTAATGTTTATAAACTATTTCTTGATACTTTAAAATTCTGAGCTATTTTCTGCAGCTTTCCTTTAAACATAATTTAAGATAACTGAATGTGTTATTTGAACAATCCAACGGACTGCCAAAGCTATTATAACAAGAGCAAATGCAAACAAATAAATAAGGAAGAGGTTTTAAAACCACCTCGTGCAAGATGCTCAGACAACACGCCTTAGCCTCCCTACCAGCTTTTCCTCTCATGTTATGAATAAGAAAAAAAACCCCAACATTCTCCACGGCACTTCTCTCAGTACTTCCAATTCATTAAGCTGCTGCCTACTTCAAGCAGATGACCTTAAAGACGGAAAGTAACTCTGTACCAAGCACAGAAGAGCTAGCTGCAGCAGGGGGACATGGTTATTTAGAAACAAGAAATGTCAATCAAGACCTTTCCTGCAATTCACAGATACAAAAGCAGATTTGCTCCAGTAAGCTGAGACTCAAAAACATGATACAGAGCATCTTGTCTGGTCCCTTGCACAGGCATGTACGGCCACAAGGCTAGTAATACCAAGTCTCAACAGAACAACTAGTCAGTTTTCTGAAGGCACCATAAAGACAGCAACACTCCAGGTGTAATGGGAAGATGCAGAGGGAGGAAAAATAATGAATACAGTTTGGAGGAAACACTAAGAGCAGCTTGGTATAACAAAGGAGAAAAAAGGTGGCTCAGTTCTATAACGGCTGTAACATCTTCAACAGCACAGAGACCCTACGCCTCTAGGCAAAGGAAGAGTAACCAGAGTTTGGAAAAATCTACTCCTGAACAAAAAAAACCCCAACTTCCATTTTTAGTGGATGGATGTAAAAATCTGTAACTGAAATCAAAGGAGACAGCAAAGAATCAAAATGCTATATAAAACATTGGGGTCCATACATACTCACATGGCATCATTAGCCTGTTTCTGATTTACCACAGTGTTAAAAGATCTGGACAGTCTCCTTTGCTCTGCAGGATGACTGAAATCCAGTGAAGTGTCACGTATTAAAACTCTTTTCAATCCGCCAGTGAGAACAAATCCCCCTCCCCAGCCCGTACGAGGGAGAGGGGGTGTCTCCCAGACAGGAGATGTTCCTAACAACCCCAGGCACCCTACAGGCAGTATGCCACCGAGTTAGTTCTAAGTAGCACTGCACCAAGCAAGTCTAGACTTGCTAAGATGTTCTGCCCCTTACGTGGACTTGAGGACAGTTTCTCGTGAGCCCTTCAGGCCAGAGGCTCATGCTTCGCTGTTCCATTATTGCTTCTCAAATAGGTTTTCCTTCTCGTCTTCCCCTCTCGCTCCCTGTTATCCCAGAAGGACTTTCTGCATCCTGCGAGCAGCGACGCTGGCTTCGTCCTCAGAGTCAGACTCGCTCTGGGAAGTAGAGCTCTGGGAGGCAGAGCTGCAGGGAGAGGAGCACTCTGGGGAGCACAGGTAGTGCATCAGCGGGAGGCGATACTTCCCACAGAAGTCAACGAACTTGATTTGTCTGACGCAGCTGTCAAAGTAGACACCTGTAAGGGCAGAGGGAAGAGTAACAACATATGAGACTCCGTGCGGAGAAATCTGTAAACTCTGCAAGGTTGTTGCGGCTGGTGCAAATGCCTCAAATTAGGATTTAATTGACACCGCACTGGATGTAGAAGCACAAGGGATACTGGAGGAAGAGAAGGGACCAGGACACCTATGGAAATGTGAAATTTCTTTTCTTAGTGGGAAAAAAAAAAAAAAAATTCCTGTAAAACTGTACTTGGTAGGTGATTCAGAATGGCACACTCTACATGAAAAGACACAGAGCAGCTACTTCCAAAGAATTCGGCAATTTCTTCTAACCATCAGGGAGAACTCTCAGGCTGGGAATTTGCAGATTTCCTAAATGTCAAATTAATTCATCCACTCTATTTTCAAACTTGTAAAACCTCTTCTACCAGCTATCAAAAATGCGTTCACAAACAGACCTTCATAGCTCTACTTTTCTTCTGCTTGAGTGAAGTCACCATGCTGAGTTTGGATGCTACTTTCCATGGCAACAGTGTTGCTGTAACACACAATTATGTTCTCTTCCTGTCACAGCAAGTGATTTTAGACACTGACATTTTCAGAAGTTTCCAGCGGTGTTTTAAGCCCTAGCTGGTCTGGAGTAAGCTTTTCTCCTGTAGTGTGAGAGCAACGTTGCTAGTTCATAAGGAAAAGTGAAAAAGAGCAAAACCAATCCACCGTTATCCAAGCTATGCAAAACTTTCCCTTCCAACACAAGTTCCAGCCCTTCCAACTTTGCTTACAGAGCATGCTTTGATATTGTTCTGTAAGGAGATAAGATAATAGACTGCATTATCACTGCAGGGTAGATACTAATTAATGATTTTTTTTCCTTAGTATTTAAAGGCCAAATGCACAGATCATTTCCTCTGGATAAAGATTAAGCATTAAGCCAAATTAAGCCCAAGCATATCAGGCTTTCCTATGCAGTCCTCTCCTTCCAGGAACTACGCGCTAGTAGTCCCAAGCAAGAGCTAAACAAATTGCTCTTGGTAACTGCCAAGCACTACATCCTCCCTCCTCTTTTCCATCCAGAAGTGAAGCTTGCTGTTCAGCAAGAGCGCTTGCAAAAGTTCTCCTGTCCATTACTTAGTCTGAGCTATTTCAGGGCAGACGGATCGGAAACTTCAGACCGTAAAAGCGTACTGGAGTGCTGGGATGAGCTGCAAAGACTCTGACAGAAATACTGCCTCACATTCCCATGCAAATACAGTAAACCAGCACTACAACTTTGAACATCGTTCCTAAGTGAACAAGGTTCCTTAAAGACAAGTTTGCAGGAGACCTGGAGCCAATAAAATACAGCTACAATTTGGATGCAACAACACAACTAACCTGACTGAGCTATTAAAGTCATGGCAAGTCAGAGGGAAAGAAAACCCCTCAGGTAAAAGCAGGAAGCAGAGCAGTTGAGGAGAACTTACCCCCGCATTTAGGATTGGGACAGTTGCTGGCCAAGCTCAGATAACGGACCAGATTCTCCGGGAGATCGCTGGGAGCGTAGGGAACATTGCGAGTTTTAATTGTGCGTCCAGCCAGTTCCTGAAGACTTGGGGGATTGTAGGTCAGGTCACGGACAAACCGAACCACCAGTGGGTTCCCCCGCAAGCTCAGCTCTTCCAGGTGAACCAGGTTAATGATCTCTCGAGGAAGGTAAGTCAGCAGGTTATTGTGCAGGCTAAGGGAACGCAGGGAATGCAGCCTGAGGATGGAGATGGAAATCCAATCAAGATGTGCAAGCAAAATCATTCCACAATTGCATTACACACAGTCCTGATTACTCTCCCCTCTCCGACCAATTTCTTTTCCTTTGGCTTTTCTTCCTTTTAATGCATAAATTCATGCTAAAAGAGCTGCTGTTACTGCAGCACACAATGCCCTAGAAAACTTGGCTCGGTTCCGGAATGCCTGTTAAAGAAACACAGTCTTAAATATGCTGCTGTCCCTCTCAGTATTCCCCCCGCCCCCACCTCCCCCAAAAAGGTAGCACAGAACAAAAGTACACAAACTGAGTGCTTTCAGGGGAGATAATGTTTCCTTGTACCCAGTGCATGCATCAAGAACAGTTCTATGCAATTCTTTGAATAAGTCACCTGCTTTCGCTCATGCATTAAAGATGATTGCTGGTAGGCAGCCAACCCTGGAAAACCCCATGTTTTCACTGCTTGCGGCTGCATCACCTTGCGCGGTGATACTACCAGATCTCAAAAGCTAAGCAAGGTCAGGCTAGGCTAGCATCGGCACAGGTGACAAGCAGTTTTTTGGCTTTTGGAGGAGGTGTTCTCCTCTCTCAGGAAGCGCAAAGCAATGCTCCAGCACAGCATCCAGGGATGCTCTCAAACCAGGACAAGTTGCAAGACAACGGGACATTGTACTTCAAGAATAATCCCACTATACCATCAAATTCCAACTCAGTGCCCCCACTCAATTGCTTTTGGGGTTACAGTTACACACCAAGTTCTTCACCTCCCATCTTAGGCTACCCATACAGAGTTTGCAGTATCCTCTTTTCCCCATTATGAAACAGATAAAGCAGTAACTTATCTTCTAGAGCTGTGCTGTAGGATTTAACAAACACTAAAAACATTCTGAGATCCTAGAGTAAAAAATGCCAAGGGAACACAGGGGATGGTACAACACAAAAGCATACACAAAAAGGCTTTGGGTGAAAGACAAAACAGGCCGAGCACTCATCACTAAGATATACGGTAGCACGGCACTTTATCTTTTCTGAGTTGCCCCAGTACTTCTCAGGGCTCCCTGTACAAATCTATTAATTCACCTTAAAGTGTATATTTGGTGACTTTTTTTTTTCCATAACCCTTTGATTGAGATTTCCATATTATATATTCATGGTCTGCCTGCAGTGCACCATGCTAAGGATCTTCTTGTTCAAGTGTAGTCACATTAACAAACTGAAGGATAAATAGGTCCTCCCAGGTGCTTTTTCCACACATGCAGAAGAAAAAGTTCAAAGAGTTAATTACAGCTGGTGGCTGATGACAGTAAATACTCACTGTGCCAGCTGAGGTGGAATACTCTGGATCTTGTTGTCACACAAAACTAAATAGTTTAGAGAAGGCAGGTTTGCTAATTCAGGTGGAATTGAAGTAATGAAATTCCCTCCAAGGTACAGAAACTCTAAACTGAGAAAGAGAAGAGAAAACACTGCATTATTTCATTAAGGTCATTTCCAGTTTCATTTAACACTAGGTCTTCCATTTCCTGCATTTCTTAAAGAAAACTTACAGATGACTATGTATGAGATAATTTGCTGGGGGGGTGGGGGGAGAGAAGCTGAGTTGCACATCAAAATTACAACAGAGCTGCTGTTTCACAACAGATAATGTTGAGATTTACCTCCAGCCTCCTGCAGTCACTATTACATCTGTAGGTAGGCACCAGACAACTATGTATTCCTACACCAACCCCACATGGAAAGCTTCTGCTCCTATTTCCAAGGAAAAGCAGGCTGCGCACACAGGGTCTGCAGCACTGACGCAGCTCCTGCTGCAGCCAGTGGGAGTTCTCAGTTTCAGTAGGAGCAAAGCAAGAGAACAGTGGCTCTCCCTGAAAATCCTGGCCCTGCACAAGAGCTAGTTGCTCTTTATGGTATCATTTGACTCCTCAGTGACTAACTGCAACCTTTCAGCAGAAGACAGAGGCAGCCAGTCCCACTTCAATAAAATTCACATGCTGACAACACCACAGCCGCAACAGCACAGAGCGCATCTAAGTCGCACAAGTACACGCATGCAATTTTCTTGGGTAGACTGATTTCAGTATACTGAAGTCATGGAGCCCAAAGCTACCAAAAACATTAGCTGGGCTTAACTGCAGTTTGGGCCTAAATAAAAAGAATAATTCACTGGACGTCCTGTGAAAACTCAGTGGATGGGAGACAGGAACAAAGAGAGGCACTAGAACCCTTCTGCCAGGTGCATCTCTGCCCCTCTAGGAAAATAATTGGCAAGCACTTCTCTTCAACATAATAGCTTCAATTCCCCATTCCACAGAGCCAAATAGCTTTCCTCCCCTGCCCTCAGACCTTGTCCGGAAAAAGAGCAAAGGCAGGTTCAGTTTGGGTACCATCTGGCTGGGAAGAGACACCATTGCTAATCACAGTCTAGACAACACTTTTTCCCATGCCTGAAACAGGTGGATCCTGTCCTGTCCACAGGTGCCTGCGGTACTCATGCTGGTTCAGTATCTCCGGTACATACTCAGGTTAGCTGCCTAACTACAGTGTACGTGGCCCCTCTGATCTACCAAGCATTCCCCAGAGGTCAGAAAGGAGAAGTCAGCCAGGCTCTGTCAGCCTTTCTTTAAGAACAGCTTATAACTCCTTGGAATAGGAGACACCACCATCTCACCGCAGCACCTCAGAGAGGCTACGGATACAGCCGGCAAAGGAACACACGACCACATCACCCAAAGGATACGGTGCTCAACCCAGAGAAGGTCTAAACCCTGCAACTGTACGCGTGTGGAGCGCCAGAGAAGCTCCTCCCTGAGGCTTCCCCTGGAATGGAGCAGAAGAACCGCAGAAAGAGACTATTTCGTTCAATTCTTGCAAGAAATTCGAACCCCAAAGATCCAATGACAGCATCTGCTTGGGCCACAGAGGCCACTAACACACCGTAGAGGTCCACCTGCCCATCAGCAAAGAACAGAACAACAAAACCACTGCAACACATGAGGAGATGCTCATGGAGCTTAACTTCCTCTGGATTCGCTTACTTTTTTGGAGTACATCAGAGGAAAGCTACATACCTGAGATTTGACAAAGTGGGCACAGAACTAAGCCATTTCTAAGCCTTAGATTTAAACTGAATTTGACTATATGAAAGGAAGTAACTATACTTGCTTCAGCTGAGAGATCAAGCGGGACAGCACATTTGGAGGTTATTCTGAACATGCAAGAAAGTACACATGAAAAAACCACCACGAAAACCCCACTGTTCAAAAGTAGCCTCTCTGCCACAGACGACCTGTAGGTGAGGAGTGGGGGTATGAGGATGGTTGCTGTGCAGAGATCACGTCAAGGGGAGATTATTTTTAATTAAATTTTGATCCCCTAACAAAGCCCCGAGTTTTAACCAAAATTCCTCCTTCAACCTCCATTGTTTACCAAGGTAGATCTGGGCTGCTTAGCTCTCATTAGGGACTTAACTGCTGACCACACAATTCCTAGGCATATTTTAACTTCATGCCATTGCTGGAGCCCACACCGAAAACTGTTGGGCAAGGGAATTCTAATAATGTGGATTTCAATGTTTAAACAAGGTTTAGATGCGTACAAGTTTCCACTTCCTAGGAAAAGTGAATAATTAACTCTTCACCCTCTGTGTTTGAAGACAATAATGCCTGTAAAGCCACACTGCATAAAAACACATACTACCAGGGAAGGGGAAGAGGGGTGCAAAATATATAGTAAAAAATGTTTTTGAAATTCATTTCAACACGTGAAATGCATAAAGTTGCAAGAGCAGCTTACTGCACAAACTAAGAGTGCCAATACACTGCCTACAAACTACTTACAGCTTTACAACTTTACTTTTCTTCGTAAAGTCTGTGTAATGAGAACACTCAGTTATGCCAGCTAGGATATAAAGCCCCAACATCAGACTACAAACTGCCTCTAACTAAAAATCCACTAAGTAAGACAACTCCTTCGGTGGCAACAAAGGGCTTCCTAAAAATTGTTTTCTTTTTACCTATCTTCTGAATCACCTTTTTGAGGTCAGTAGACTAACAACTCACTGGGCCCACTCTAGTACAGCAAATTCAGGATTTCCAACATCAACATAAGGTATGAATTAGATAGTAAATTTCTTTTAAAAGCACAGGGAGGAGGTTTTGACACTATAAAGAAACTTATTTTAAATACAGCAAAGATATTCTTACAGCTTCCACTGAAACACTGCTCAGTAGGCAAAAGAAACCTGTAACTCCCGTCCCCCAAAATACAATTTGCTAGAAAGAAGGATCTAGCCTAGTCTTGGCTGAGCAAGATGGAAGAATTAATAACAACCATTTCTGCATCAAATTAAAGCGTCAAGAATTGTTTGAGCAAAGCTAATCATGACACAGGCAAGGATTTTCAAGAGACACAACCCTTTTGTAGTGAGCACCAACCACACCACTGGGGCCACAGTTCGTCCCTAGCTCATCTACTCCTGGACTGATTTTCGCGTCACTAAGCCCGTACCTAGAGGCCAAGGCAATGCTGGCTCTCGAGCTCTCCTGCTCGAGGGACAGTTTGTTGCTCGGTAAGAGGACTGCTGAGCTCTGCCCTCCTCATAAAAGAGCCCCTCTAAGGAGGCAACCCACAACATTTACCATTGTTTTTCACAGGAGCACCATAACAGAGACTGGAGTGAGCTTAGTGAATGCTTCTAACTAACCTTTCACATGAAGGCCCAGTTTTTCTGACAATCATTAATCTGCATAGTCATTTGGACGAGCCAGCTAAGGTCTCGTGCATGGCTGGGTACACAGAGGGAGAGCTGGAATTTTTCTGTACTTTCAAAAGTCAGTCCAGGAACTTAGAAAAGCCAGAGAGCAACCAGCCTCAAACGAATGTAAGTTTCTATTTTCGAAGCTAGAATAAACGATGTACATCCAACCTGCCACACAGGATCTGGCTGAAGGAGCTTCAAGAGGGGACAAACACTAACAAAATCCGTCTCAACAAAAACTGAAAAAAAAAACCATTTGACAGAGTAACTAATGGGGGCTGACACTTTCTCTCCTGCCTTTTAGCAATGTTTACAAATATACTAATAAATGGCCAGAGTCCCTTTCAGCCTCATATCCAGGCTCGCACAGCACAGCCAGTACTAATTGCAGCAGCCAGCACGCCAAGCCCGTCGTGTGTCGCTCCTCTCTAGCGGGGGATTTCACACCACCGGGCTGCAGGGTGGCTGTGTAAATCCCTTTACACACGGGAAGGGAGTGGGGAAATGCTCAAACAACTATGAATCGATTCAGGTGGTGGCAGCAAAGTTTAACATGCCAAGAGACTGTACATTCTTGCTTGAGTATGTCCTTGAGGTTTCCAGGTCATCATATAGCACAAAACAAATCAAAAACCCCCAAAACACTCAGTAAGTAAGAAGAGCCCACTCTGAGCACTAGAGGTATTTTTGATACCCTATCAATTACCATGACACTTTCACAGTCATATTTCTAGGGGAGAATATCTTCTGGCACAGAAGATACTCAAATTTTCAATCCACCCTGTTTCCCCACAGATGCTTCTTTGGATAAGATTTAACAGCTGACATCAAACAGATGCATCTAAATAGGTAATCTAAAAAAGAAACAATGAGCCTGAAATAGCTCCAGGTCTTTTTAAGATAAACTTTTTAGCAAGAAATTTCCAGGGTAGTTTTGAGGCTCATGCAAGGGAGGAATTTAAAAGCAGCCCACAATACACTCCTGTTAACCCTGTTCTACAATTTGCTAATTCCTGAGAGAACTGCGTAGCCTTTGCTGACACGCAAATTTAAGATCAAACGGTCGTCTGAAAACTATTTGCAAAAACGTTTGAAGAGGGGAAGAAAAAGGGAGGCAGCAAGCAGATTTCCTAATGCTGTATCTTTATCAAAGCTTCACTTGCCATTTTTCCCACACTGTAACAGCCGTTCTTAAGTGTATGCTTGTCTAACACGCTTAATACTACCCATGAATAAAAGCAAACACTCTGGTTTTCATTGCATCTAAGCCTTTACACAAAACTTGGATGAATCCAGTTAGGCGTTTGAGGCCTTTGATCCCAGGCCTCGCACAACTGGGCTTTACTAGAGGAATCCAAGCAAGAAGGAAAGGAGCATGCATGGCAGACGCCTGGAAAAAGCCTGATTCTTTTCCAAGCTCTTTCCGCCTGCTCCTGGTTCTCCACCGAGCATGAGAGTATTAACTAGAAGAATAAGACTAAACTTGAAATTCACATCATGAGATTCAAGGTATCGACTGCATTTCGCTAAGCTCTTGAGAATTTTAACCTTTACAGGACACTTGCAAGACATTTCCCCAAGCGTGCACACTGATGAGGGCAATCCATGCACCCTTAAGCCAAAAGCCACAGTTGGACAGTGAAGATCAGAGCTGTATTTTACCAGACTTTGCCAAACAAATTTTG